TTGACAAGGAAAGAGGGAAGGGGGTGGTGGGAAGGTGGGAGGTGAGCCTGTGCGGGAGAGTTGAGCGGGTGGATATTCCGTACTGGAGAAGAGTTGGAAGGATTTTGGGTGAGGCGTAAAGTGAGTTATTTGGGAATAGGGCTGGAGGGATGATAGCTAGGAGCAGTGCCTCATTTGCAAAAGTGGGGGCACAAGTTGAGGATTGCGCCGCCTTTTAGGCGTGAGGGTCTTCTTTCACTGCCTATAATGCTAGGATCCTTACCCTGTCCAAAGAGGAGCCCAGTTCTGAAGTTGAGTTGTGGATGTCATGTGGGGGTTGCAGTATGTTCCAGGTCAATGACATACTTGTGCTTTATAAGGCACCAAGTACAGAGTGCTAGATCTGAAGATCTTTCAGTCTGACAGAGATGGATATAGAGACAACTGGACTGGCTAGCATATTGAGAGAGATTTTGACTATTCCCTGTCCAAAGAGGAGCCCAGTTCTGAAGTTGAGTTGTGGATGTCATGTGGGGGTTGCAGTATGTTCCAGGTCAATGACATACTTGTGCTTTATAAGGCACCAAGTACAGAGTGCTAGATCTGAAGATCTTTCAGTCTGACAGAGATGGATATAGAGACAACTGGACTGGCTAGCATATTGAGAGAGATTTTGACTATTTTCAGCATAGCTTTAATATTGAAGTCCAGGTTCTGAGAGCTATAGCAGTGGTATTCTAAGTTTATGAAGCATCCTAAAGGTGAAGTCTTAGGGTACGTCTAGACTACATGCCTCTGTCGCCAGAGGCATGTAGATTAGGCTACCCGACATAGTAAAATGAAGCGGCGATTTAAATAATCGCCGCTTCATTTAAATTTACATGACTGCCACGCTGAGCCGACAAACAGCTGATCAGCTGTTTGTCAGCTCAGCGTGGCAGTCATGTAAATTTAAATGAAGCGGCGATTATTTAAATCGCCGCTTCATTTTACTATGTCGGGTAGCCTAATCTACATGCCTCTGGCGACAGAGGCATGTAGTCTAGACGTACCCTTAGTCTACTTTCACTGTGACTTTTTTCGTTCCAAAGATTAGACTGTAAAAGATCTTTTACCCTGATGCCCCTTCTCTTTTTTGCAGATGAAGGAAGATCGATTCCGGAAACTATTTGCAGCCTTAATTCACCAAGGATGGCAAGTTCCGCAAGTTTGGTTTCATTGGCTTTAAGTCTGAAGATGAAGCCAAAACAGCAATGAATCATTTCAACAAGAGTTTTATAGACATGGCCAGAATCACGGTGAGTTGACTTTAAAATAAAATGTCTCAGGGGTAGCCATGTTTGTTTGTAATTTTAAAAACAAGTAGTTCTGTGGTATCTTACAAATTAACAAAACTATATAGTATGATGCTCATCTGATTAAGTGGGTTTTAAAAGCTCAATTTGTTAGTTCCTGATGTTCCACAAGACTGCTTATTGTTTTTAAAATAAAATGTTTGCTCCTCTGAGAAAAATTTGTGACTTTGATAGTATTTTACTCAGAGGAAGAGAGGAGCTTCACTAAACCCAATTGATAATACTGAAGTAGTGGAGCCTTGTTTGTGGACTGATTATCAGGCATTCCAGTCAGTGTTCCCTCTAAAATTTTCCATCCATGAGCAGAACGAAGTGTTGTTTTGTGCACCAATACTGAGGTCATGTGCGTGTTTTCAGATGTGTTCCACTGTGGCACTGATCCCTGAGAGACTCTTCTAGTGCAGAGACCCCAGCCCTGTCCCCGCTAGGATCCAGAACCTTGCTCCCAGGCAGCACCCTCCTATCTAGTGAGGAAAAGATGAGCCTGCTTCGCGGGCGGCCTGTGTTCAGGGCAGGGGCTGTCACAGGCTGCTACCTGCAGGGCTGGCTGTGAATCCCTGCCTAGGGCAGAGGGAAGCTGCTGCCAGTGCTCAGGGTTTGCAGAGAGTGGAGAGCTGGTGATGGTGCAGTGACACATGAGGGACCTGGGGTGGGGGGAAGCCAGCAGGGGGCTGAAAGGAGCAGGAGGCTCTGAGAGCCAGAGGGCAGTGTGAGGGAGGAAGAAGGGGAACAGGCATGCAAGGGGGCTTCTGGCCCCAGGAGCAGCCGCAGCGTAGCCTGGCTCCAGCCCTGGTTCTGAGCCCAGGAGCAGCTGAATTATGGCCTGTCTCTAGCCCTGCCAGCTGGGTTCCCATATGGCCCACTCTGGGAACAGCTGGGCAAACCACAATGTGGCCCTGGCCACACCTCCAGCCTTGGGGAAGGGCTGAAGCTAGGGCTAGGGGCCACATGGTGGCTGCCTGGCTGCTCCTAGGACTGGAACTGGGAGCACAGTACTAAAAATAGCACCATGGCCCCTGCCCCAGGAGCAACTGCACTATTGCCCTGGCCCCAATTCTGGCAGCTGCCACATGGTCCTGGCCCCATCTGCTCCCAAGACGGAGCCACATGGTAAGAGGCTGTGCTATGTGTCAGGGCTGGAGCTAGGGCTGCAGTGCAGCTGCTCCTGGGGCTGTGGTACTAAAAACAGCATCACAGCACTGGTCCCAGCCCCGGCACACAGGGCAGCCACCCGCCATGCAGCCCCGCCCCAGGAGCAGCTCAGAAGCCACTACATGGCCCTGGCCCTCCACTCCCACCAAGTATACTGCCAACAGAAGTTTACCTCAAGGAAGGTGAGCGCTGCTATGCGGCTCTGCTGAGGGGGTGGGCAGGATTAGAATTCTTTGTGTTCGCTATGCAGGCGTGCACTGTAGAGGGAACTGAGATCCCAGTCAGTAATCATCCCTGCTGCACTTTGTGCAGCCAGCTTTGATTCCCAGACTTTTAATCCACACTGGCAAGGGCTAGGTAGGAGTACTGTGGAAACTACACACTAAGGAAAGAGTCCTTTTCCTTCTGTCCAGCCTGAATAAGCAGGCCAGGTGCAGGGCAAAATGTAGTAGATAAAATCCTCCCTTTTCTTTGCCTTTGCAAGCCACAGAGCAGTTGTGAAGCTGTTGGATACTTGGGCCCAGTATCTGGTGTATGTTCTCAGGCTCCATACAGCGGATGGGAACAGGAGGATCTGCATAGTGGGTATTGCAACACGACCAACCTGGTATTCTTTGAGCATCCTGTTTCCATGCATTTAGTGGGACTATATCAGGGATGGGCTATAATTTTTAATGGGAGGCCACTCTCAAGATTTTGGTAAGTGGTCAAGGACCACACTTCTGTCTAGGGATCGTGGGGTCTGGGACGGAGGGTGGGGTGTAAAGGGGAGTTTGGGATAGAGGACTTGGATTCAGGAGGGTGTGTGTGGCTCTGAGAAGGAGTTTGGGTAGGGGGTTATGATCTGGTGCATGAGAGGATTCTGGCCTGGGGGAAGGGTATAAGAGGGGTGCAGGGTTTTGGGAGGGAGTTGTGATCTGGGAGAAAGGAGAAACAGGAAGCAGAGGGTTTGGGTGATGACCTGGGACAGGGGAATGGGTTGCAGGGTCAGGGAGGGTATGTGTGCAGGAAAGGATTCTGGTCTGGGGAAGGGATGTAAGAGGGGGTGCAGGGTCTGGGACGGATTGTGACCTGGAGGAGATGGGGAGAGGGGATACAGAAGGTTTGAGTGGTGGCCAGGGCAGGGAGTTGAGGGGGAAAGAAGGGGTGGGATGCCAGAGCCAGGCTCTGGCTGGGAGGTGCTTATCTAGGCAGCTCCCAGCCAGCAGCTCTGCAGGAAGCTTTTTCCTCCCTGCTCAGACTGCAAAGCAATTAGCAGCCTGCTGTTTAAAATGGCTGCAACTGCTCTAGTAAGGGTGCTGGCCAGGTGTCTTGGTGGGCCAAATGTGGCCCACTAGCCACCTCTTACCCACCTCTGGACTATACTAATTCTTCTGTTTAGGGAGCCACTGCAGAGGTAGAGTAGGGTTCACATCATTTGATCTTCAAGCAAAGGAAGCCAAGTTGATGGTAAGTGGAGCAGTCTGATTCAGATATTCAATAGCAATTGAATTAGTTGAGTTAGTTGGCCATCTGTTGCTCTAGCAGTGCTGGTCCAGTGCTAGGCTGATTTAAAGTCTTAGATCTCTGGATACTGTATCTAGCAAGCCCTGAAATTGTGTGTACTGTATTCCATTAAAGTTGTTTACATTTTCTCTTGTTCTGTGGAGACAATGCACTAGAAGACTGTAGAGAACAAAACAGTTTGTCTGAATATGTCCCAAAATAATTAATGTAATTATGAGTTCCTTCCACTGAAGAGCTATAAACAGGTAGTTCTCAATGGGTCCTTACTGCAGTAATGTCTGCGTCTTTCTGCTTTACATGTACTATAAAAAATGGGACTTGTTAAAAAGGGGCTCCTTGTTTTTGGCTCTTTTCAGGTAGAGTTCTGTAAATCATTTGGTGACCCATTGAAACCCAGAGCTTGGAGCAAACACTCCCAGAATCCTTCTGCACTGGATAAGCCTACCAACAATTCCAAAACAAGTCCAGTTCCCACAAACAGAAAGAAAGTAAGTCACACTCACTTTCTCAGGTGTGACATGTACATCAGTAGCTTTGTGAGGGGGTGGGGGAGGTGGCTGCAGCAGTGGCCTGAAATTCAGGATTCCATGTCTCATTCTTGGTTTACCATTCACTTTTGATCTTTCTGCCTTCTTTCCAGCCTGTGTAATGAGAATCATGACTATCTTGTAGATATGCCATTCTGAAAAGTGTGTGTTGTTGTTTCAGGAAAAAAAGAAGAAAAGTACAACAGGAAGCTTAAAAGAGGTGAGTTGAGAGTAGTTTGTGAGACTTGTCCATTTGAGTAAAAAGGTTTGATACAGAAAACCTAGGATAGAAATTGCTGAGAACTCTGTATCTATTCTGTTCTCATCCCAGCTTGAGCAAGTCACTGAATCTTTCTGTGTCTGTTTTCTCATCATAAAATAGTGAACTTTGTAGTTGTCTTGCTGCTTTAAGTTCTTTGACAATCTCAGGTTACAGGTGCTTCGTAGAAGTGAAAAATACATATTAAATCATTAACAATTTTACTTGCTGTCTCTGAATTTCTCTCCACACTCAGGCTGTGTCTACACTGGGCCACTTATTCTGGAAAATCAGCCGCTTTTCCGGAATAAGCTGCGAGCTGTCTACACTGGCCCTTGC